TTCATTATGGGTAGACTATTTGAACACTGTTATTTATAAAATTGTTTTGTATGTATGTTTGGTTTACTTATATTGTTTGTATATTTTTATTCGGTACGCATCATACATATAATGCACTATATTGTGTGCATCTTCCATTATTTAACATTATTATTAAAAGATCTAGCGTTCAATTCTCGAGAATTTTTTGTTGCATTTTGTTGCATTTCCTGTGTAGCACCTAAATCATAAGTCTGATGTGCTTCTGATGCTTTAAATGTTTGAGAACCAAATGGATCGCCTTTGAGATTTTAAATATGCAGGTGCTTCTACATCAACTATGTTTCTCTTACACGATTTCAGTTTACGGTTATCCTATCTTCATGAGGTGGATGAAATGGATACTATTCGGAAGGCATTCTTTACATCTCCAATCTTTCAGCTTGTTACTCAAAATTATGATGGTCGGGATTTCCCTCGTTTTTCATGTAGGTTTATTTCTCCGAATATATCAAGACATTTTATCTCCAAAGCGTTGTTGGTTGATTGGTCGGGATTTTATATCCGTATTTATGTCTCTGTATCGATACACATACTATACTTATCTATATTTTATATTTGAGGATTGTTAAAATATCAATACTAGTTATTAAAATATTTTATATATGTGTGCAAATATATCGATAAACATTATTAAAATATCATTTTTATAATCTCGACAACAAAGTTTCGATACTTAGAATTTCTAAACCCGTTAAAATTTGACAAAACGGTAAAAATTTGACACAATCGATTAAATATAATAGATTGAAAATGGACACAACCAGTTTCTATAATTGCGCCTATAAAGTATCGGTACCTAAGAAACATGTATCGATAAATGACAATATAAAAGGTTGAAAATTGACAAAACTGGTTCCAATATAAATAACTTAATAGGTAAAAAATTGACAAAATCGGTTTTCATAATTGTGCCTATAATGTATCGATACACATCTTAAAAGTATCAATGCTTAAAACTTCGAAACGGATTAGGTTCATCAAAATTAACAAAATTGGTTTCCATAATTGCACCTATAAAGTATCGATACATATATGAAAAGTATCGATACACATATGAAAAGTATCGATTCTTAAAACTTGGAAACCAAGTACTTTAAAGTAATAGGTAAATTTACAATGTAAGCTGTAAAAATATACTGGTTTAATGACAAAATACGTTTACGTAAAGTATCGATACTTTTTGTATATGTATCGATATTTTTTTCTCCAGTATACTTCCCAAACTAGATGCACGTAGAAAGTATCGATACCTAATACACATGTATCGATACATGACAATATAACAGGTTAAAAATTGATAAAACCGGTTTCAATATGACAAAACATGTAAAAAAGATACCGAGTTACAAAAAAATGAAACGTCTCAAAAGTATCGATACCATACAAAAAAGTATTGATACTTAAGTATGGGTAATGGTATCGATTAAATATAAATAACTTAACAAGTTCAAAATTGACAAAATCGGTTTCCATAATTGCGCCTATAAAGTATCGATACATGTACGAGAAGTATCGATTCTTAAAACTTCGAAACGGATTAATTTAAAGTAATAGTTAAATTTACAATGTAAGCGGAAAAATATATCGGATTAATGACAAAATACATTATCATAAACTATCAATACTTTTTGTATATGTATCGATACTTTTTCTCCAGTATACATCCCAAGCTAGGTGCACTCAAAAAGTATCGATACATAATACACATGTATCGATACATGACAATATAACAGGTTGAAAATTGATAAAATCGATTTCACTATTATAAAACAGGTAAAAAGATACCGGTTTACACAAAAATTAAACGTCTAGAAAGTATTGATACCATACAAAAAAGTATCGATACTTCAGTAAGAGTATTCAATATAAATAATATATCTAGTTACAAAAAAACCCTAAACTAGAGAAATAGATAGAAGACAATCGTAGTTTTAGAGATCGACAGAAGTTAGTTGTTGTTAAATAATACTAGATCATTTTGGAAGCGTTCTTATTTGTTTGTTACTGCAATCGAATCGAAAGGTATGTTGTTGAAACCCTACTTTTTTAGTTTTTCAATATTCCAAAATAGAGGTTAGGTTTTTGAGTTTGGGGTTTTCGAAGTAAAGAAGCATTTGGGACCTATTATAGGTACATTCAAGTTCAATCTTTGTTCGAGAAGATGATGACCTTGAAATGAAGCCCAACAACATCAAAATTGAAGAAAATCGAAAGCAACCACTGGGTGGATATATGTACTTCTAGTAAGTATCAATGTATTTCTGTAATTGTATGTAAAAACGTAATTGGATTAAAGTATTTAAGAAATTTTAATTGATTACAAATTTCAAATCTTGACAGTATGATTGAATGATTGAACATTACATACAATAGTTGTATTTAGTTCTTTAATTGTTCTTCATTGTATATAAGGATATTACAAATGATATCCGTTCAAGTTTCGAAACCAATAAGTTAAATGCATGCAATACCCTATACCATCGAGGCAGAGGACAAGAAATCTGGCACTTAAAGATTTACCAAGAGCGGTAGCTTCTGCTTTGCATGAAGATCGAACCTAGAATCAACTTTGTCATTATGCCTATATTGCTCAAGAGAACCAGCTGAATGATAGGATTTGCACACAACTACGAGTATTTGATTGGAAACCCCAACTACTATGCTAAAATCCTACAACAGAGATGTATGGGGTAACCCATACTTGGGGTTTCTCATAAAATGCTCACGGTTATGTGGAAATCCCTTCATTCGGCGGGTTCTCTTGAGCAGTATAGACATAGTGGCGAAGTTGATTCTAGGTTTGGTCTGCATGCAGAGTAAAAGCTACCGCTCTTGGTATATCTTTAAGTGCCAGATTTCTTGTCCTCTGCCTCTAGGATATAGGGTACTACATGCATGATACTTTTTGTTTTCTAAACGTGAACAGATATCATTACAACTATACTTATATTCTATTAAGAACAATTCTTCAAGAACTGAATAAAACTATTGTATGTAATGTTAATCATGCACTCCTTTCGTGGGAGGGGTTTAGTCCCTAAACCCTCAAAGAAAGCTTATCTTACTGATTCTTAGCTTACCATTTGGACCATGCAATGGGGTTTTATTGGCTACACAGTCAACATGATTAACCTAGATAATCCCAACTACAGAACTGATTTCGACCATGACTTGCGGGAGACTCTATTCTATAGACTGTTTGGCAAGGTTCAAGTACACGATACACGGGAACATATAGAAAGGTCCAAGTATCAATACTCCAAGTACCGGTTAAAAGTAAGCAATTAGTGCATTGACACCCTATCGACGATTTCCTTTGCTTTACCTCTTTCAAGTGCATTGTAGATGTCTTTATGTGTAAATCCAACATTCTGATAACACATATATCAAAGTAAGCTTTGTAGAAGTAATAGTTAAATTTACAAGGTACACGGTAAAATTATACTGATATAATGATAATATCATAAACTTTTATATATGTATCAATTCTTTGTTATATCGGTCTCGATACTTATTATTTAATTCCATATAAAGGCTCAAACAATCTGCACGTAAAATGTATCAACACACACACACACACACACACACACACAATATATATATATATATATATCATACCTACAATTTTGAAACCTACTACTTTTAAGTAATAGGTTAATTGACAATGAAAATGGTAAGTCAATTGGTATCATGATAATATGAGTAAACAATGTACACGGTAGTATGTTGATAAAGCTTGATAACAAATCAAGTAATTAACCGGTTATGTTATCGTCGATTTTAAGGCTCCATCAGCTTTAACTTTGGTTAATTCCACTTAAAGGCTCAAACAATATGCACGTAAAATGTATCGATACACACACACACACACACACACATATATATATATGTATATGTATATATATTCCATACTTATAATTTTGAAACCTATTACTTTAAAGTAATATATTAATTTCCAATGAAAACGGTTAAAGTCAATCGGTATCATGATAATATGCATAAACAATGTACATGGTAATATGCTGATAAAAAGCTTGATAACAAATCAAGTAATTAACCAGTTATGTTATCGTCGGATTCCTAAGGCTCCATCAGGTTAAACTTTATTAACATTTTTGGTGTTAATACTAATAACAAATTAAGTAATAACCTAATAACAAATTAAGTAATGAACTTATCTTGTTATCGTCGGATTTCTAAGGCCCCCATCAACTTTAATAATGTGCTACATATTACGTTACATATGCGCTACCTAATATGTTATTATGGTTGATAATATTTTCAGTAATTAACCGGCTATGTTATCTTCGGATTTCTAAAGTTCTATCAGCTTAAACTTTGGTAACATTTTAGGCGTTACCTAATATGTTGATAATACTAATAACAAATTAAGTAATTAACCTATTTTGTTATCGTTGGATTTCCAAAGCTCCATACGTTATATAAGCGCTACCTAATATGTTATTATGATTGATAATGTTTCAAGTAATTAACCGGTTATGTTATCGTCGGATCTCCAAAGCCCCATCAATTTAAAAAAGACTCTACATATTACGTTATATAAGCGCTATCTAATATGTTATTATAATTGATAATGTTTCCAGTAATTAATCGGTTTTGTTATCGTCTATATTTTTGACGCATTTTACATAGGACGATAACATAACCGATTATTATCGTTTTTATTACCAACTAAAATAATATTTTCGGTTAAATCATATAACATTTTTGATATCGATTTTGACCGATCACTTTTTTTAACTGCCTCGCATCAAAACTTTCCCCGCGGCCGCCCCCGTAGCTACTTTTGCTGTTTCCGAGTTTTAATCTTTGCCTTAACTTCACTTTTCCACTTCTTTCACTGTTTAAAATTATGCGCGCACGAAGATAACTTAGCAACGTAACACTCGTGTGACTGACAGCATTTGTCAGATGCGAAAATGGAGACATGAAAGAGTGTTTTATATGCACCAGACAATATGAATAGTCTCCGTTGTCAATCTTCAACTTCTTCTTCTTCACTTGGTTCCTCTATGGGGATGGTTTACCCAGACATGCGTTGTCTTTCTCTTGGTTCAAGCTACGGTACTGTTTTTTTCTCGCAGGAAAAGGAAAGAGCTTGGGGTTTTCATTTCATTGAGGAAAACCACAGCTCTGATGTTGTGGAGGGTAAGTGCTTAAATGAAGAGAATGCCGTGAGTGGCAAGGAATCAGACAGTGGGCAGTCGAAGCTTTGTGCCAGTGGCCATTGGAGGCCTGCAGAAGACACTAAGCTCAAGGAACTTGTTGCTCTTTATGGTCCTCAGAACTGGAACTTTATAGCTGAGAAGTTGGATGGAAGATCAGGTAAAACAGTGAAAAAATGCGTTATTTTATTCTTTGTTTTAAGCTAAGGCTCATTTGTTCTGATTCTTGTCTCTTGTGGCCTTAAGGTAAGAGTTGCAGGCTGAGATGGTTTAATCAGTTGGACCCTAGGATCAATAGAAGAGCTTTTACCGAAGAAGAAAAGGAGAGGCTAATTCAAGCTCATAGACTTTACGGTAACAAATGGGCAATGATTGCTAGGCTGTTCCCTGGAAGAACTGATAATGCAGTGAAGAACCATTGGCATATGATTATGGCCAGGAAGTATAGACAACAATCAAGTGCCTACAGGAGGCGGAGGCTGAGTCAATCTGTTTCTAGGAAGATTGAAGAAACTCCTGGCTTTGTCTGCAGAGATGCAGCAACAAAAGCAGAACCACCCCAATACTATCAGTTTGGAACCTTCAAAGGTGCTGTTGATGCATGTGGGGTTGATGAGAGTGACTCTAATGTTTCACCCCGCATGACTAGTGGGAGAGAAGCAATCTTAAGCAACCAGATCCCTCATCATAATGGGTTTTGTTCACAACGCAAACCTTTTGATTTCTTCCCTGGTCTGTCACTCTTCTCTTCTCTTAAGCATCTCTTTTGAATGTTTTTATCATTGTTAATTTACTAGTTTCTCTACTTTTTTTAAGATGTTAAGAGCAATGGCATGATGGGCAGCATGCTCAGCAAGACCAGATTTTGGGGATGGCCCATTGATAAGCCCCAAATATACAGGATATCAATGCAACAGTCCCAAAGAATCACAGATTCCACTCCTCAAGTTTCAGCCACTGAACCTTCATCGTCAATGGCAGCGAGCAGCTGCCCCTATGAGGCCGTTCCACCACCTTTCATTGACTTTCTTGGAGTAGGAGCCATATGAAGTCACTAATAACACCAAAAGGAGGAAAGAAAGGGACTGTAAAAGGTATTTCACCTTTATGTGGAAGTGCTCCAAGATAATTGAGAGGCCATTAGAGGTAAAAATGATTTGTTTTTCAGATGGTGACAGTAGTTATAGTCTGTATCAGTCTGTCACAAGTCATAGCCTGGTACTTTCTTTTTCCACAAGTTCAAAACAAATTTTTTTGAAGTATAATATTATTATCATAAATAAAGCATACTATCTTTTTTCGACCTTTTATTTCATTAATGACTATAAATGCTTCCAATGGTTTCTGAACCAGATAAGCCATGACCAGTGGAAGCCCAAAGTGAGTGTTGAAATAGACATTCCAGACCAGCTTTTTGTATTACAATATTAGTTATTATATATCTTTGGTAAATACCTAAGATATATAACAAAAGTTAAATGGAATAATTGCAATGAAAAGCTCAGAGAAATCAGACACAGATGAAACCACATATAAAAACACAATAAGCACATTTACAAGTATAGATTGTACTGCATGATAGTTTGATAAATAAAGACTCATACAAGGGGCATGATAATGATTTGACATAGAAACACAAAAGCATGAAACTTGAATTCTCAAACAAAAAGAAAAGCATGAAACTTGAAATGAAGACACCCTTTCTCTCATGGAACCTCGTAAATTCATGCACAAATTATGCAAACATAACTTCTTGAATCCATCGTCTTCATGTCGGGAACTGTTAAGTATCCTTGATTCCAGTCATCTGAAGAATCTTTGCCAAGAATCAAGACTCATGCCAACTACACGGGAACATATCTATCTAAAAGCTCATTTGGAACTGACTTTAATTTAATGATCTGAACTGTTGGTCTTGAACTTGTGTTTTTTATTGAATTATAAATGACTGTCCTTGCCTATATGAAACAGGTCAGGTTGTTTTGGATCAGGGCATTGTATGGTATTAAAACAGGCCTAATGGTGGGCTTTTGGGTTTGCTAGCGGAACCTGAAAGGTAAAATGGCAGGTTTTGTCAGGAAGGCAATGATGCCTTCAGGACGAATTTATAATATTCTAGGTGGGGACAAATTTATAAAATTTACCATAATGAAAGATTATGTTTCCATATGAAATTACCATAATGATGCTCTTTCTCACTGTGGTAGTTCAGTGAAGCTCCTATGTCTCCAATCTCCTGTGGTTTCCCTTCGCATACTGCTTATCAAGTTTAATGCACGGGGTTAAGTCGTGTGTACGCTTGATGTTGGATGTACCATTGCATCAGAAATGACTTCTTTCAATTATTTGAAAGAATATTTCTACATGATTATACTTTGTCTCTAGCAATTATGTTGTCTTTGATGAAGAAAGCAATCGTGTCTACCATTACTAGCCGCCTTCTACATTTCAAGCCTCATCAAAAACTGTGTATGCTTTGCTGCAAAATGAACCTAGAATTTTCTTTATTAATCATAAATTTACCTAGAATCCAGCTTAAAGGGTACAGAAATGTCCTTGTCAGCATTATTTAACTCCCGATGCTTCTCGTCGTACCTCCGTTTTACGTCACTGATTGATATGTTGGAGAAACATTCAACTGTCTCATTTGAACATGTGATGTTTCTTGCTGGATACTCTCTTATCTGTAAAACAACCAATCACCTTAATGATATGGATACTCAAATTTGATTTGTGACATATTGCTAGCGTCATTTTCTGTTGGGTGACTATGCTTGACAAAAATATTTCAGCTGAAATCTCCATTATCTTTTAGTTGGATGGTGACTAGTTCCTTTTGTTTTCTCTTTTCTAGATTCCTGAGGCCATATTCTTTTCATAATCTCATTTTCTTCCTTGCTTTTGGATTTATGAAATCTCCTTTAATGGGTCCCTTAAAGAATAATAATTGATGAGGCACATTTGTTTGTATGACTTTTGATTCACTGGACCTGCTTCTGATCAAAAAATACCAGAGGGCCGGGTTCGCATCATCCCAGAATCTCCTTTACCAGTTAGGGAATATATTAAAGCAATAAAGGAGTTCCAAGTACCTCTTGCTGATTAAAGAGGAAGGTGCTCCAATGTCTCTCCTTTTCTTGTTTTTCAAACATTCGGGCCACATATGATGAAAACTTATACATGATTTTATTCTTTTCTTCCGATATGAACTAGATGAGCTTGCCACTGACGAATTATAGCTCTAGGAGGGAAGATGTAGATGCTTACTCAGGAAGAACTAATGTTGGTGTGAAGATGGACCTACCACTTGTCGGTCCACCTTGTTGAACGGAATGATGATTGCAACGATCTCATCAGCGGACCATCCGTTCTATGCTCACTGAATTGTATCCTACTAACTGATTATAAAATTGTTTTTAGTCAACAGATTGGAGGATCTTCCATTGGTAAGGGCATGTATTTAAGCAATCCTGGAGAAACCTTGGACATATCTTCTACTTCTTTAATGAATTGAAACAGCCTTATTGCTTTTCTGGTCGACTTAATAAAATAACAAATGTCATCTGATCTTCCTAATCTTTTAATCCTGGAAAATGGCTTATCAATGTAGTAGGCCAGCTGAATGTATGGCACTGATGTAATATATTGAGTTTTTACTTCAGGTGCTGCTGGGAAGATATTTGATATGGTAAAACTCAAGTTGCAAATTCCAAATGGAGTGGCATATATTTCAAGCTGTCGGCCCTAATGACAGTCTGTATGAAAGAAAACAAAAGGCCTGAGATTCTCCTATAATGGGATAAACTCACAGAATTGTGTCCATTTGGGGTTACTATTGTGTGTCCATTTGGGGTTACTTTCACACTCCCTGCTTGTACTGTGTTATTTGTTAAGATGGCCTGAATTGTTTCACTTTTTCAATGGTATAAGAAAAAATGGGGCTAGCTGGGTCCCAAAATGTATTATAAGATTCTTTGATTCCTTCACGCATACAAAGAACAAAAAGAATCTGCCAGCCACACCACTGACCACACCCATCCTCCTAAGAAAAAAGGGAAATAAAAACAAAGGAGAAAAAAGACGTTGCCCATTTGGTTTACCCTTTCTGTCATCTACAGGATAATTAAGCTTTCCTGTCAATTTAGCTTCCCATGGTGTTAGGAAAGTCATCTTACTTAATTCATGGATGTGGTGTTCCATCGGATTCGGGTTTGTTTCGTTAACTCATCAAGCAGGGAGGGAGAAAATAATGGGGTGTTTGGCAAATAATTATAGCTAATACCCGGTATTTGATTCTAGTAGTTAATTTGACCAATTGATTTGATTAGCTTATTTGAGAAACTGATTTTAAATAAGAGTATGACACATTTAGTTTTTAAGTGCATATATGTTTTATAATATTTTAGTCTTTATTGGGTTAAAATTATTTGGATAAAATACTTTTGACAACAAATTAAAATTCTTTAAGAAATTAATGAATATTTTTGAAAAATTTTAATATATTTTTAAATTTAATATTTACAAATATTAACTTTGTGAAATTGATACATACTATTAACTTTGTATAAAATATCAACACTATTTTTTTTTCTTTCATGTTTTGCTATATTTTCTTAACTAAAATATATTTGACAATCTACAACTAAAAAATAGAATAATAAAATAAAATTTCAGCTTAAATATGTTATGATAAAGACTATTTCATTATATTATGTTTTTATGATAAGGATGTAATTATGGAAAAAATAAGATCAAATATATCATTTAACATATTATTTTACAATCAGCTCTTTTAAACCGCTGAATTTTCCAACGTTTTCATTTTCAGCTTATTTTGTATAATAAACTCTTTCAAAAAAAATATTTACCAAACACTAAAAATAAAAAGATTTAACTACCAATTAACTATTTATACTTAAATAAATTAAAATCTCTTCAAAAAAAAATTGTTTGTCGAACACCCAATGTGTGTGAAATAGAAACAAGCCATGCACTTTTCCTCTTTTCTCTCCTTTTCAGACTCAAATTGATCTGTGTTGCTTTCTTTGCTTTTTTTTTTTTTTTTCTGTATCACAGATTCTCTCCTTCCACCCTCTTCCAAGTCAAAGAAGAAGTTGATATGAAATGGGAGATGATAGAAGGAAGAGGTCGTGGCACATATTCCTTTCCCCATACTGCCCCACTTATGATTCCAGATATGGAGTGAGATCATAGGACAGCCCAACAACTCACAAGATTTATAAAGAGAACTACAGCTGCTTCATATTGAAATCACAACCTTCTTACAAGAAGAAGAAAAAAAAAGGATCAAAATTCACACGAGTTTCAGTTTTCTGCATCCCTCTGCCTGTCTCTCTTACACAACACCAAACATGGAGGGTCTGCAAAATATGCAAAATCAAGACATGAACTTGGTTCTGTCAATTGATGCAAAGCCTAGGCTGAAGTGGATTCCTGAACTCCATCAAAGATTTGTTGATGCTGTCAATCAACTAGGAGGGCCAGACAGTTAAGTATAGTACTTTCAGATAACCGTAATCATCATCATCATCATATCATCTTGTCTAATCATACTGATATTTTTAGGGGTAAAATTTTCTTATGTTTATTATTTCTGGACAGAAGCAACCCCAAAGAATCTCATGAGGGTCATAGGAATTTCTGGACTCACTTTGTACCATCTCAAAAGCCATTTACAGGTGATTTCTCTTCATTATACAACCATACCATCATCTCAAACATATTAAGGTTTGACTGTATTTTCTTCTTGCAGAAATACAGGCTGGCAAAAAGCCAACAGACAGAAATCTGCCTTAGCAATAAACTAGATGGTGAGATTAAGAATTCATTGCTTGCTGCATTTAGGTTATTATATCGACTCCCACAACAGTATGATCTTTTTTTCTTCTTTTCATTGTGATATAGATTGCACTGAGGTACAGAGCAGTAATGGGGATTTGAGCAGTGACACAAGTGATGGAACTCACAAGCAGATGGATGAGTAACGGTTTTTTTTTTTACATCGATCCTTTATATTTTGATAAATTTTGGATTTGGAAATGATAATTAGACGGATTGTATTGACTGTGTAATTATATTGTTCATCAGAAGCTTGCGGATTGCTCAGGCTTTCCAAATGCAGATGGAAGTACAGAGAAAGCTTCATGAACAGATTGAGGTATGGCCTATTGAACCAAATCCCAAATAGCTGATTTTCAGTCCACGCATCGACTCGTATCAATCAGGCTATTTTTCTACTCAGGTTCAGAGACATTTACAGCTAAGAATTGAAGCTCAAGGAAATTACTTAAAATCAGTATTAAAGAAAGCACAAGAAAAACTGGCTGGGTATACATCATCTTCTATTGGTGAAGAACTTGCCAAAGTCGAACTCTCTCGACTAGTTTCAATGGTTAACACTGGCTGCACAAGTTCTTCATTTTCGGAATTGACAGAGGTAGGAGGATCAAGCTTAAAACAGACGGAAAGAAAGCCGATGAGAAGTACTATATGTTCCATGGAGAGCTCATTGACGTCTTCTGAAAGCTCGGGAAGAAAGGACGACGAGGAGCCACCTAATAACGAGAATATCTGTACCCAGAAATCTAGTGCTTTTATTGAACTTAACTTAATGGACATTCACCCCGTAAAGAAGCGTCGGATTAGTGGCTCGAGCAATCAAGTTAATGGAAAGAAAAGGAGTGGCTCTAATATTTCTGATGACAAATGTGTTGAGCAGCCAGTAGCTAAAAGATTAGAGCTTCCTGAAGAGGAATCTGGTAGTCAATTGAGGAAGTGTGGTTTGTTGGGGTCATTTGATCTCAATAACCAATACCAAAACGATATGGAATTGGGTCCAAAAGCAATAGACTTGAACAGCAGGGAATAGATCTGCTCTGTTATGCTGCATGATCGTTAGTAAATATAATGTAAGCTGGGAAGATGCAATCTTTGGTTTATAGGCTATGCATATTGTCATATGTATTGAACTGCGACAACTTTTGAAAGGATATTTGATACGGAAACAAGGTATAATGCATATTTTGCAGATACATATCTTGTTCTCTCTCTCTTAACTTGGAAAAGTGACTGATGCTAATAGAGAAATTCCCTATTATATTTTATTTAGTTAGATTATATAGAATTCAGAAAATATAAATCGAAAAGAATATTTTTTGAATCGCCTATATTTTTTTTAATCCACCGACCACTAATTATCAACTGTAATCATAGTAGTCTGTTGCACTTATAGTGTGTTTTTCAAAACATGTTGGGGGTGTTAATATTATGATTAAGCCTGCCTTTCTTCCATTTGATATTGGAATGAAAAAGCAAAACTTGGAGAAGAAAAAATCATCATAGCGGCAGAATCATTAGCTATACCATTCTCATGGTGCGAAGTGCTGACCAACTTCAATCATTTTATGTTGCTGCGCCTGCGAGTCTCGAATAATTACAGAGTCCCACATGGATTATATAAATTGTCTAACCGTCCTCCTTAAGCCAGAGCTCAACAATGGAAGCATTGAATAAAATGGGAAAAAGAATTTGCCATGACAGGTGTTGTAACCGGTTTTCGTCCGGGCACGAAATTTTTACTTTTACTACTTGGCGGGAAAATTTAAAATTAATAAATAAATGATTTTAATTTTAAAAACTATTTTGGGAGTCGCCATCGGCCTTTTGGGTTAGGTAGGTCGAATACCTAAAAAGTATCTTTTAAAAGAGTTTTTAAGAAAACATCAGTTAAAAGATAACTGGTCTGCGTTTTAGCCAAAAATTTGTTCTTTTTAATAATAAAAAGGGATTCGTGGTCGATTACGTTTGGGGAAGGATTAACACTCCCACAACGCCCAAAATTGGTACTTTATTAATTATAAATTGTCTCTATTATTGGAAATTTAAAAATTCACAAATATTTTTAATTCATAATCATATTATTTCAAATTAATATCTATATTTTTAAATAAAATATTTATTTACTTAGAAATATCAGAAAAGGGCTTCTAGGTGCTTTAAGACAGCTCTTTTCTTAATATTAAAAATAAATAAATAATAATACATTTGTCTAAAAAATATATTTATAATTTATAATATTAAAATATTTTATGTATATATATATACTTTATAATAGTAAAATATTTATTTATTTAAAATATATTAGGAAATGAACATCTAGTTGCTTTAAGACTGCCATTTTCTTTGATATTAAAAATAAACAAATATTATTAATTAATTAATATATATTAAAAAAATAATAATAATAATTTAAATATTAAACATATAAAATTAAAATATGTTAAACAATAATTAAAATAAAATTAAATATAAAAAGTAATAAAACTAGTATTAAAACTAGTGACTAAATTATAACATATTAAAGTTAAATATCTAATTCGTAATTAATTATTTAAAGCTATAGTGGCTAAACATGCTATTTTATATATTTATTAATTTAGTGACTAAAATAAAACTATATAAAATTTGAATATCAAATTAAATTAAATTAAAACATGCCATTAGGGGTTAAAATATTAACTAGCAAAGTCACAGGGGCTAATTTAGTTATTTTCCTAAAAATATATATGTACAGGCATGGAATATAATATAATTTAAATAAAAATTAAAGACTGAATTAAAATAATTAAAAATTACTTTTGGTGACTAAATTGCATAAATTACAAACTGTAGTGACCAAATAAAAGTTTTCAAAACTTTAATGGATGCACGTATGATTTACCAATTTTACAAAATTATAGATATACCCTTCCCCAAAACGACATCGTTTGGGAAGGGGTATTTATACCCGAATATGGTTGGCCCTATTGGCCATTCTCTCATTTCCTCTTTTCTTCCTCTCTCTCTAACTAAGAGAAACAAATTTTCTCTCTGCCTTCTCTCTAGATTCTCTCGACAGATAGAATCCGACAACCGTGCCGGCCACCATACACTGGTGACGATGGCCACCGTCGGCCACCGTATGTGGTGGCCGGAAATCTTCAAAATCCTTCAAATCAAAGCTTATTCGATCCTCAAACCGAATCCTCTCTTATTTACCCCTAAAACTCTCTTAATAGATCTAGATCTAAAATAAACCGACGATTACCTTCGGTTTTCGACTGTTCCAGCGTCATATGGGCTCTCCGAGGGTAAGTCTCTTCATTTTCTTTTCTTTGTTGCTTGTTGTTTAGTGTCTCGCTGGGTTCTGGTTTATGGTTTGTGGTTGCTACTGGTTATCCGTGTTCTTATTCTCTTTCTCCGTGGCTATCTTTTTTAGTTGCTGTCTCTTTTTCTCCGTGTCTGCTTGCTATCCTCTTCCTCCTTTTTTTTGCAGGTAAACCGAGGCTTTATAGCCTCGGTGAGGCTTTCATCGGACTGGTCACAAGGGTGTAAGGCTCAGTGAGTCACCATAGCTATGCTGGTGACTCACCATAGAGGCAACGTGTGCGGGAAAGCTGGCGATTCTAGAGTCTTCGGTTGATGTTGTGGCAACGGTTGAAGCATCATCTGGCAGTGGGAACGTCGGTAGCAACTGGACCGTCTGGAAGTTGGAGGGGTGGCTGAGAGCTTCTGGAAATAGCAGAGGGGGCTGGGATAGGGTTGAGAAACCCTAGCTAAAACCCCAAATTGATTCAAGGTTTCCATTTAGGTCTGGGCCGGTTGGGTCATTGTTGGGCCATCCGGGATTATTGGGCCTCTGATGTAATTTGTAATATATATATTTATTTAATAATAAATAATAATAATAATAATACTAATATATTATATTAATAATAATTATTATTATAATTATGAAAAAATAATGTCTACAACTGCCCCTCTTTGCTCATTCTTGTGTTAACAAGAATAGAGTAAAGACGAAAAAGACAATAATTTTTTCATTTGGCCTCTATTGAGTATGATGGAAATGTTGAAAACATTCTGCCCAGAGGTCTTATGAATGGCTTTGAAGTCTTATCATCTTGCACTGTAGGTCTTACAGATGACCCTGAGGCTTTGATAACATCATGCACTGAAGGGCTTACAGATGACCCGAAGGTTTTGATAACATCATGCACTGAAGGACTTACAGATGACCCGAAGGTTTTGAAAACATCATGCACTGAAGGGCTTACAGATGACCTGAAGGTTTTGATAACATCTTGCACTGAAGGGCTTACAGATGACCCGAAGGTTTTGATAACATCATGCACTGAAGGGCTTACAGATGACCCGAAGGTTTTGAAAATATCATGCACTGAAGGGCTTACAGATGACCCGAAGGTTTTGATAACATCATGCACTGAAGAAATTACAGATGACCCGAAGGTTTTGAAAACATCATGCACTGAAGGGCTTACAGATGACCCGAAGGTTTTGAAAACATCATGCACTGAAGGGCTTACAGATGGCCCGAAGGTTTTGAAAACATCATGCACTGAAGGGCTTACAGATGACCCGAAGGTTTTGAAAACATCATGCACTGAAGGGCTTACAGATGACCCAAAGGTTTTGAAAACATTATGCACTGAAGGGCTTACAGATGACCCGAAGGTTTTGAAAACATCATGCACTGAACGGCTTACAGATGACCCGAAGGTTTTGATAACATCATGCACTGAAGGGCTTACAGATGACCCGAAGGTTTTGATAACATCATGCACTGAAGGACTTACAGATGACCCGAAGGTTTTGAAAACATCATGCACTGAAGGGATTACAGATGACCCGAAGATTTTGAAAACGTCATGCACTGAAGGGCTTACAGATGACCCGAAGGTTTTGAAAACATCATGTACTGAAGGGCTTACAGATGACCTGAAGGTTTTGATAACATCATGCACTGAAGGGCTTACAAATGACCCGAAAGTTTTGATAACATCATGCACTGAAGGACTTACAGATGACCCGTAGGTTTTTGAAAACATCATGCACTGAAGGACTTACAGATGACCCGGAGGTTTTTGAAAACATCATGCACTGAAGGACTTACAGATGACCCGAAGGTTTTTGAAAACATCATGCACTAAAGGACTTACAGATGAGGGAAATAGTTTACTAAGTAAGAAACTATGAAAAATCGTTTTCTTACTATTCAACAATTTTATTTTTAGAAAAGATTAAATGAGAAACTTTGGAAATCATTTTCTCATTGAAATAACTTGTTGATTGGGTAACATGCCCCATTTTAAAATAATGCTTCTTTTGTGGATTGCGTCCATCTATTCTTTAGATGTTTGTGTGATTCCTGCATTTGAGGTTTTGAATTCTACCTTCTTCTTGTAAGGTATTTTTCATCATGAATCTTCTTGTTCATAAGAAGGTCTGTAAAACTTCATGTTTGAATGCATTCAGATGTATCAATGTAATGCATTGTCTATTGTGTAAATGATGTTCTTATGAATGCATGAATGTTGATGCAATCTTCATTTGACTTCAAAGTGGCCAACTTGGTCTTCTTTTACTTTATCATTTATTGCCAGGGTTACCTTTGGATATCAGTATAGCAACTTATGCTATCAAGCTTGTATCTCTGAAAAACCATCTGATCAACTTGTATATTTATTTCATTTAAGTCTCAGAAGATATGTTTCATTTATGGAACTCTTGCTGTAGTCAGAACTATGACCTTGATGCCCCATTTTGTCTTTGATAACATCAGCTTTCTTTATCTGGACTTGTATAGAAATTCAATAAAACTTTCATCTTTGAAAAGAGAATCTATCATATTTGAAGAGTGTAGATGTAGATATGCCTGACTCAGCAGGGATTAATTAGGAGATCAGAGTCTATTCTGATTTGACTCTTGAAACAGATCTTAAGGAGGATTTATCCTAATTCCTTTCATGTCTCCACATATAATTGGATCTCGAACAAGGTAACTTGGACCATATCGTCGAGATGCTTAATAACAACCTGTCGTTCAACCTTAGTTGGCTTCACTAATTTCTTACTTAAAATTTTCAGCTTCCCTTTTGTGGAAAGAAATCCTCATCATATCTCATTTCTGACCTTGGGGTTGAAAAAGAAAAATTTGATCTTGGATCAACAAATG